AGTATAATGCATTAGGTCCTCAAAATTGGTCCCAATAGCATTAGTGATTTAAAAGAGATATGAGAAAAAAAGAGAGTTGAGTGTACATATGAGATAGAGAGAGATAGAGTTATATGAGGTAGGAATCTTAAAGTTGTAAAAAGAATAAAAGTCTAATTAGGATCGTTGGATCAATAATCCTTAAACGATCTAGGCTGTGAAAAGTTCAAAACAAACAATTTAATTATTTAATTATATATATATATATATATATATATATATATATTAATTGACTATGTGTATATAGATTTATAATTATATATTATTTTAGATAGTAAAAAATCAAACACAACAACTATAAGATAAATGATAATTAACGAAACATTCATAGACACTAAATTAGTTACCATTTATCAACATTCATAAATAGTAAGTTAATTACCACATCGTGGATGGAACTCAATTCTTGAAAGGTTGAATGCAGGTTTGTCGATGATCATCCAGAGTGGGAATTTGGTCATATACGCAGGACTGCAATTGTGCAGCTAATGAACTAACAGGACGGGGCATCACTATGGGCTATACTGGTACATTGCAATCTGACCAACTACCGACCTCAACAAAGAATCAAGTAGAGTTGGATGCATGCCCCAGCTTAGAATTACTGTTTTTATATTACTGTCTTTAATTTACTATATTGCTATCTTATATCTCAATTTTCAATATCAAAAAAAAAAAAATGTTTTGTAATGTATAATGTTGTATAGTAGTGAAACGATTCACATAAAAGTCCCAAAATGAATTGTTATCCAAAATACTATACCAATTACATCTACGCCCATCATACTGCGAACCTAAAAAACTGTTATATCATATTCTCGTATCCGTATTATGTATCAGAGCGATTCACAATCCAAGTAATATTGATATGAATATTGATAAAAATTGTAAAGACGAAATTTGGTAAATAATCATTCAAAATTTGATGATTGACATATCTATTTATAGTTTATTTACAGAATGATTTATCAAAATAATATTTCTTATAAATATTATTTTTAGTACTAGCACTTTCTATAAAGTAAATTTCATATAACTTTTCTTAATTAGGTTCTATTTTTTTGTTTATAAGTTATGCTTGAAAAACTTTTAAAGTAATTAGGCAAAAAAATGTCATGAAGAATTATTTTATAAATAACGTAAATGACAAACCACTCATATTTGCAAGACATAACAAATTTTAATGATTATTTTTCAATCGTTCTCCTCAACTTAATGATTGCCCTCACCAAAAATAAAATTCTGGCAATGAAAAAATTAATCGAAATGCATTTAAGTTGATTCAAATACTTGTTATCATTGAACCAAAAAAAACAAAAGAAGAGCTTTGAACACTTTAAATTCCAATAAAACTACAGAAGTGATGTAAGAGTGTAAAAATATGATATGACCTATTAACATAACACGTAATTAAAAGATTTGAGTCTTTTTAAAATTATATATTTCGTAAATAAAAGAATCTGACATGACATGATTAATAAATAAATTAGATATAAATAAAATTAATAAAAAAATTATATGACACAACTCGTTTATATTTATATATGATAAATACATGACACGAATTTAATATAACATAATTTATTAAACGTAAGTTAATAAATAAAATATTTTTTCTGACAAATGTATTAAAATTCGACACCAACCCACTTACCCACCAAAACGAATAACGCGAGTGACATACACAGCATGGATCATTGAATCCTGGAACAGTTATTCATGTTTTTACTGGTTTTATTTCAATTCAACGTGACCAATGAAAGTTCATTGCATCGAAAAGTTAGGTGACGGTGCAGCGGATCAGTATTGGCGTGTGTACTTACTACACATCCACGGCCGCATATCAGCCGCGGGAGTAACTATTCACTGCACCCTCACCAATGTCACGTCAATAGACAATTTGGAAGATAAATAAAGTAGATTCAATAGTTATAATATTAGCGTTATTGAATTTTATAAAATTCATTTGCCCTTGTACACTTGCTTATGTATTATTGGATAGTGGCAATACTAATATAGTGTAACTATTATATTAAATATTAATACCCAATCATAAAACATTTCAAATAATTTTTTTTAAATTCAACGATCAAGGGTGTTTGAATCAATTTATGTTTATCTCGACTAATTATCTCTCTAATCTGGTCAAAGACATACCATTCACACCAACAAATATGAAATATTTATCTCTCTAATCTGGTTAAAACTCGATTTTAGCATATCTGAATTTACAGCTCGTCTCTATTATTTCTTGAACGAACAATCGTTTTTAAGTAATAATGTTAGGCTTATCATGTTTGTATACATAATCTTTTATGTTAAATAATGTTTCAAATCTATTATAACTGGATAAATAAGTTTTATTTTTATATAAATTTAGGTGGTAAATCTATCGCATTAGTTTGGGATAAATAGATTTAGCATAAAATTTTAGTAAAACATAGCATTAATTACTTTTAAGTGGATTTTATTTTATATTAATCTTTTTTTCAATTGGCATGGATGTTATATCATGGACAAATAGAAGAGTGATGGATTTCTATTTTTTTTAACTGAGAGGAGTGATAGATTCACCATAAACTTTTCTTACAATGTGGTAAGGAAATGTTTTTCCAAATAAAATGTGGTTTTGATTGTTATTTATTCATTTAATATGTAATTTAAAATTACATTTATTGAGCAAAGTGATATTATTTTTTTTAATACTTTTAAATTATTCCCACCATGCTTTTTTTTTTTTATTTGCCAATGTTAACTCGAGAGATACGATAAATGACAAAAGATGCATACCGAATAAAAAAAAAGATTATGTGTACAAAAAAAGTTTTAAAAAAAAATTGAAGATCAAATTAAAAAATGGATGATATTCTAAAAATTACTGATGTAATTAAATCGAAAAGGACAAAAAGGTCCGTAGAAATGTGATGTACTAAAAGAAAAGGGGGGTAACATTGATAGCTCAACAACAAACACTGCTGTAAAGTTGGATGGTGATCAGAATTATCCTACCCTTTTTCCTTTTTCCTTTAGTTCGTGATTTTCCCAAAATAGACATTGCTATTTGACCAATATCTTAGCAGAAATTGTCGGTGACCGGGCAGCTAGCAAAGGCTAATTTAGACCATATCTAGCTTTCCCTGTATTATGACAGTCACAAAAGCGCGTCTGCTCACGACTACCCCCCACTCTTTCAAACTAGTAGTATTTTATGTTGTTAAAAAATTAATCCCCACAATTCATGTTTAATATCCCTTTTCACAATTATAAAATCAATGTTTAGGTTTTGGGCTTGTTGATGTCAACAATGACATACAATAACTTTTGGAAGCATCATGAGAGAAGTTCTTATTCACCCAATAAATATAATTTTATAAGTAATTATATATATATATATATACATATTTTGTTACAGGGTATTTAGATTTAAATTGACTACTCTTTCGAGTTCAATAATTTGAATTGAGTTAAAACATATTTCTAAAAGAGCAAAGGTGATTATCGCTTAAGGGGTGTTAAAAGGAATTAAAACCAGATGTCTAATTTATTAATAAAAAATACCCAATAACTATAAACTCCAAAAAGAAAAGAAAAAATTGAAGCGATTAGTAATAGTAAAAACACTTGATGTTGAGTACGAAATTTCTTTAATTCAACATCCCACTTGCATTCAAGACATGAGAGTTAATTTTTGTGTTACCAATAAGGATAATGGAGGTTATCGGTTAGTTTATTGATCGATCATTATTCTTGTTATTAGATATCATGATTGTGAGTTCGAATGTCGTCGACTCTCTACTTTTAATAGTGTCCGACAAAAAAAGAAAAAAGCAAAGAGGATGGTAATATTGTATATAGATTTTGAAATGTTTATGTAGTAAATATATGCCAAAATTGCCTAATAGGACATAGCCAAAGAGAAAATTTATAATGCGGCAAATTTGGGTTTGTGCATTGCCTTTGGCCCAGCGTGAAAAGTGCAATTCAGTCAAAGGGAATAATCACAATTCATACACAAAGCCGGTTGTAAGCCTATCTCTATTCAAAATCTGTATTTTTCTATCTAACAGCACTTCCTTTTACTAAGCCAAACCTGGTCGTTACATATGCGACGGCCATGATTTCTTCTTACCAATTCCCACCCAAGAAAACTAAACCCAATAATACCCAAAAATGTTTATGTAATAATAACTTTCAAGAGAAAAAAAAATAAAAAAAAAATCTTTCTAACTTTTCTTTTCTCTTTTTGATTTGCCCGATCTTCTCTTCTTCCTGCTCTCGAAAAAAAAAATCATCAACCCAAATCGGGAAAAAGGAAAAGAAATTGATGATTTCATTAATTGCACACGAGGACAAGATCTACCCTGAAGGAAGGAGGATCCAAGCTTCAAATGTTCCATAACAACTCTCTTACATATTCTCCTTAGTTCTTATGTATATGTTTTGATATTGTGAGGTTGTGGCAATTATTTTCTGGGTGAAAAAGTATCTTTTGTTAGAGGTTTGATTTTTAATTCCTTTGGTTTGTATGTATTAAATTCCAAAAAGAGTAGAAGATGCAAAGGAAATTTCAAAAGCAATAGCCCATTAGTCTTTGTCGGAACTTTCTGGCTTTTGCCTGTTATTTCATTTTGATATTTATTTCTTAAAAATGGTTTAGATTTTGTTTTTTCTTGAATATTTTAACCTTAGATTTTGGGTACTTTTTTTTTTTTTTTGGTGATTTTTGTTTTGTAAAAACAAAAAAGAATACAGATTTAGGGTGGGTTGGTCATATTGACAGAGAACGTGCTGTCAATTTTGTGTGTTTTGAATTCCTTTGATTTTGATTTTCATGGTGGAATCAAAATCAAAGACGTGTTGAGCTGTTATCACATTCTGGTAATTATATAATCACTCTTTCTCTCTCTACATCTCTCTCTCTTTCTCTCTCTCACTTTGCTCTTCTTATTACAGTTGCAAGCTGTAATTGAATGTGAGCTCTTTTGTACTCATCTACCAAGTTATTGCCCATCTCTCTTCTCTCTCCCTCTCTCTCTCTACAGTCCCCTTATAATCTTTACACGAATGGCACCATGAATTAGAGACGCCTAGCTTCTTTCCCCTCCCACGCGTCTCTCGTTCTCTGCCTTCCTCTTCACCTTCCACATACTCTCTGTTGTCTTGTGTCTTTCATCAATACCCATTCTGTTTTCTCTCTCTGAAAATGGGATCAGAGCATTGATAGCTAAACTTTTTCTTTCTGGAGAGTTTTTGCATTTATCCATTTGAGCTTCAGAGCGCCGAAGTTTCAAACTTTAACGCCTATCTTCCATCTGGGTCTTCGATCAAAGACCTCCAACAATGGCACCATCCTTCGATTGGTGGGCCAAAGAGAGCCATAGAGGAACACCAGTAGTCGTCAAAATGGAAAACCCAAACAACTGGTCCATGGTCGAGCTTGAAGCCCCTTCAGAAGATGACTTTCTCTACCACAACGGTGACGTCTCAATGCCCAGTCGTCCCAAAGGCAAAGCCAGAAACAAAAACGCCAAACAGCTGACCTGGGTCCTCCTACTCAAGGCCCACAAAGCCGCCGGTTGTTTAACCTCCATCGCCACCGCATTGCTCAGCCTCGCCGCCGCCATTCGCCTCCGTGTTGCTTCTGGCAGAACCGACACCGACACCGAAACCAGTGGTGAAAGGGTTACTGAGAACTTGACTGTGAAATCTAAGTTTTATTCATGTATAAAGGTGTTTCTCTGGGTTTCGCTTTTGTTACTGGGGTTTGAGGTAGCTGCATATTACAAAGGTTGGCATTTTGGTGCACCAGATCTTCAATTAAAGCATCTATACACATTGACAAACCCATTAACTGTTAAGAGTGTGTTTGATTCACTTTATTCAAGATGGGTTTTGATTAGGGTGGAGTATCTCGCTCCTCCTCTTCAATTTCTTGCCAATGCCTGTATCTTGCTGTTCCTTATTCAGAGTTTAGATAGGTTAGTCCTCTGTTTGGGTTGTTTCTGGATCAAATTCAAGAAGATCAAGCCAGTAGCCAAACAAGCCACAGTGGATCTAGAGTCTGGTGACGCTGATGGTTATTTCCCCATGGTTTTAGTTCAGATCCCCATGTGCAATGAAAAAGAGGTAACTTCTCAAAAACCCATTTGATTCTTTGTTGGTAATGAGCTTAATTTACAGGTTTTGCAGTTAGAATTGTGTTGTTTTATCTGAATTTGAAGTTGTTGTACCAGGTTTATCAGCAATCTATTGGTGCTGTGTGCACTTTAGACTGGCCTAAATCCAAAATTCTAATTCAAGTGTTGGATGATTCGGATGACCCAACAACACAATTGTTGATCAAAGAGGAGGTACATAAGTGGCAACAAGAGGGTGCCAACATTGTTTATAGGCACAGAGTGATTCGGGAGGGGTACAAAGCTGGCAATCTCAAGTCTGCTATGAATTGTAGTTATGTCAAAGAATATGAGTTTGTTGCCATTTTTGATGCTGATTTTCAGCCCAACCCTGACTTTCTCCAAAGAACAGTTCCTCATTTCAAGGTATTCAAAACTCCATCTATTCTCTGTGTAATAATCTCTGGTACATAACCACAATACCATGACAAGTTTAATGCATTAATCAAGTACCAGTATGTATATGACTCTGTTAATATCATTAGTTGTGAGTGTGTGATAGTAATTTATGGGCAAATTTATGTGTTGGTAGTTGATGCAATTTGGTCAATTAAACCAATAATCCTTTTGTCTGCGCATTGTAGGATAATAAGGAACTAGGATTGGTTCAGGCAAGGTGGTCATTTGTGAACAAGGATGAAAACTTGTTGACAAGGCTGCAGCACATTAATTTAGCATTTCATTTTGAGGTGGAGCAGCAGGTGAACGGAATTTTCCTAAATTTCTTTGGTTTTAATGGGACTGCTGGTGTGTGGAGGATAAAGGCCTTGGAGGAGTCTGGTGGGTGGTTGGAGAGAACCACCGTTGAGGACATGGACATCGCTGTTCGGGCTCATCTTCATGGATGGAAGTTCATTTTCCTCAATGATGTGGAGGTATTTTTCTGCTTTACTATATAATTCAGTTGCATTAGTGGTTCTTGTGGTAAATTAATTGTGAATCAACAATTTTTGGTTCTCTTCCATTTTCAGTGCCAATGCGAAGTACCTGAATCTTATGAAGCTTATAGGAAACAGCAACACAGGTGGCATTCGGGGCCTATGCAATTGTTTCGTCTCTGTTTACCTGCCATTATCCGATCAAAGGTATTCAGCTTGTGCAACACTTGCTGCTTGTATTGGCATTACAACTCTTGGTATTTGATGAAATTAGCTGAATTCTATTGACTGAAACTATTCTCGTTATTCATTTGCTTGATGCAGATTAGCATTTGGAAGAAGGGCAATTTGATTTTCCTCTTCTTCCTGCTAAGAAAACTGATACTACCATTTTACTCATTCACCCTTTTTTGCATAATCCTCCCTATGACAATGTTCATCCCCGAGGCTACATTGCCATCATGGGTTGTCTGTTACATTCCAGCTACCATGTCATTTCTCAATATACTGCCCGCTCCAAAATCATTCCCCTTCATTGTGCCCTATCTTCTTTTTGAGAACACTATGTCAGTGACCAAGTTCAATGCCATGATTTCGGGTCTATTTCAACTTGGAAGTGCATATGAATGGGTTGTAACTAAGAAATCAGGGCGCTCCTCTGAGGGTGATCTTATCACCTTGGTTGAGAAAGAACCATTGTATCAAAGGGGTGTCTCAGTGCCCGATTTTGGGGAAATCAGGGAAGAAATTAAACAACAGGGGCAGAAGACTGGGAAGAAAAAGAAGCACAATAGGATATACACAAAAGAGTTGGCACTAGCTTTCCTTCTATTGACAGCTTCAGCGCGTAGCCTCTTGTCTGCTCAGGGGATCCATTTCTACTTCTTGCTCTTTCAGGGTGTATCGTTCCTGCTTGTGGGCCTTGACTTGATCGGTGAACAGGTTGGGTGAACAGAAATTTGTAGTCTTAGTAGGGGATACATGATCAAGCAAGAACAGGTGACATGGTGCACCAGACACTGAAGCTAAGTACATTATGGAGATACAGCACCTGTGGGGAAATTGCGGAGGGCTGAGAGTGCCTCTTCCTTTTCCTCTGCACTGCAGACGCAATATAACACCTTGCTCGATAGAAGAATTTGTGTGAAAAGGATCATCAAATCACTTACATCTTGGAGGTACGGAATCCCATTACAAAATGGTGATGTTCATTACTACATTGAAGGTTTACCCTTTTTCTTTTTGTAATTTCTTTCTTTTTTTTATTGATTCTTTCGTTTTTTTGGTCTATTCTTTTGTAAGAAGAATTTGTCTTTAAAACAAGAAGCAAGGATTTTAGCACAGTTTAACTTGTAGGAATGCAGGTTTCGGGTATTACTCTTTATGCTTCACATCTTTGATTATAATGTTCTTCAATTGTTCTACAAGTTGCTCAGAACAATGACTTCTTTTCCGGATTCTCTAGGTAAAATCTATGCCTTGTAAATGTGGAACTACTTGTTTCTCTTTTGTTGTTTTCTTGCCCTTTACTTGGTTTGATTCATTTTCTTCACTGTTTGAAGACTTCAAAAGTGAAGCACAAACAGTTCCAAAAAGAAAAAGAAAAAGTGAAGCATCAAACTTGACCATTGGTTTCTATGGAATGCTGTAATGTTTCAACGTTCTTTTGTATGTACTCCACAGAAACTACACATAAATGTAGAAAAAGGAGAAACTACACACATGCTTACCGTTGGAAAGATCCCTCTACATGGGTGTTTTATAAAACTAGGAGGCGAACAAAACTAAATGGATCAATTTCTTTGACAGGTTGTTTTGAGCTTCCAGTTTTTCTGGATTGCTCGGGTTTTAGGGGATTTGTTTCAGAAAGTCTTTCATCTATACTTGATTTATTTATTAATTTATGTCTAATAAATTGTCATATCAAGTTTATATTATATATGATTTTGTATAACTAATATATAAACGAGTTATTTTGTGTATTTTTTTTGATTGAAGTAATCTATATCCGATTCAGATCCAAAAAAAAAAAATCTATATCCGATTTGTTTATTAATTGTGTTGTATTAGGTCCACTTGTTTAAGAAATAAATAGTTTAAGAAAGACTTAAATTCTCTAATTTTGTATCATGTTCTTATCGTGTTAATGAATGGTGTAATATGTTGTCATCTCTAATTGCCATGGATTGCCTTGCGTCCAAAAAAAGGATCATAAATTTGAAGATAGACAGTGCTCAAGTTTTAACGACATTAGAGCTACCTGTACTCTTTGTCTTAAAAGGTCCTCCACAAACTTTTCGCTGGGAAGTAGCTGAACCTTCTGTGTATCAGTGCTCGTTTAGATACCTTTCTTAGGTCCTTATAAGTCATCTTTTAAATCTCTTAACCCCAAAGCGCTGTTCAAGTGGAGATGGAAGCAAGCTGTAAACTTCAACCTGAGTTTGAAAATTTGGCAACTTTTTGAGGCCAGTCTTTTTAGTGTCAGCACAGTTTGGTTAGTAGGACAAATCTCTATTAATTAGATGAATTATATCCAAACTTTGGATGTGGGCTCGACTCCCTGTCTACTGTACGAGTTCTGATTAACCGTTGCACGTGTTGAGAGGCCGGTGCATATGGCACTCTCCGAATAGGAATTACCTCTCGGAAGGGGCTAGAGTTAGATTTGGGAGGTAATTCCTCCGGAAGTTAACCTTATGTTTTAAATCTCTTCACAGATTAAGTCTGAATAAGTATATTATTTTGACAAGATTCTTGCTTAATCCAGAATGTCAAGTATGGTTGAAGCTTGGCAAAACCACAAATAGATAAAATTATCATTACAGTAAAGTATCATGTTTTTTTTCAATCTCTAGGCAGATAATGAACTTTAAGCGGTTAGACTTAAAGCGATGTTAAATATTCCTCTTATAATGCCCGTTGGCCGGTTCAAATAGAAGTGAAGCAATATGTCGGTGGTATAAGTCTAAAAGGTCAATCTTCCAAAATAAAGTTAAATTTATGTACCACTTTACTACTTGAGACCCGAAATATCGACCAGCGGGAGGTGACTAGGTACCATCTTTATGCTGGATATGGATTTGAATGAAAATTCGTTGAGATATGCTGTTTAAGTTTCGTTGTCAAGGGCACCATTTGATGTACCAAACTATTTATGTGTGTTATGGAGCATGGTCCATCAATCAAGTGGCTAGTAAATTTGATGGTTCAGCACATCTTTAGGCCATGTGAGATTTGTCTGGAATGGGTTCATTCAAGTCGGCTGTAGAGAAAACAGCAAAGAAAGGCCATATCTGTCGACCATAATAGACAGCCTACCTATTTGGTACAGCTTCCTGTCCCATGCCAAATGCAGCATCAATTCACATTCTTCTTTAGAGAGAGACAGAGAGAGAGAGCATATAATCAGCAACACTGTATGATCTAATACATTGCCGATTATTTTGATGAATCAGTCAACCTTTCAATCTCAACCGGCCATTGAATGTGTGTTTTTTGGACTCCCCCTCCTTTCAAGGGTTAATTGGTTCTGAGTGTATATTCAATTCTATGGTGAAACTGCGTGGTGGTGATGGCGTGGTATGACAATTGCATTAACATTTTCTCGTTTTCGATAGTTTTTAATTCAAGAATTTTCCCCACTTTTCCCCTCGGTTTTCTTGATCCAAATCTCTCTCTCTCCCCCACCCACGGCACACCTTTTACATAATTAGACACTCACTAGTATATCTTCCTCACCCGTTGTGAACTCAAGTGAGATTTAATTAAGGATCAAAATATCGTGTCAAAATAATCGAAACGTCCGAAATATTTTTATTTATAAGGAGATCGAAACGAATTATTGATTGAATCGAAATTCTAATACTTTGAGATATTTCGGAATGTTTTGTTTTTTTTGAAATGTTTTAATATGTTTTTACCAATGTTTTGGAATATTTCGAAATGTTTCAAGAACTTTAACTATATTTAGACCAATATTTTGAAATGTTTTGAAAATAAATTCCTAATTTTTTTATCCATTTTCATTATGTTTCCAAAACGTTTCCGAAACATTTTCGAAACATTTCTATTTCTTAGGTAATCGAAATAATGCGCCTAAACGATATTTTGATCATTGGACTCAATGTATATAATTTAAATTCAACCATTAATGCACTCTAGCCAGACTGAACCAATTGAACTTACGAGGGGATGCAGCATTTGATAAAAAAATAAGGATAAATTCATCTGTCATAAGTTCGAGTCTTATTGATCGCACAAACAAAAGTTAATTGATACGCGTGATTTGCGATTGATTACTTGCATTTAACATTTACAGTAAATTTGCGAGTTAAAAAGACACGTGATTGAGATGATTTTTCTTAATAAAAACACATCACGGGGCATGAAAGAAAGCATAAATTGGTACCCCTGCGCCTATTTCACTGCCCAGAAACGTAAGCCATGTGGAAATGTATAAGCACATGTAAAAGCATAACATAAAACAAAAATAAATCCGGCCAGCCTTTGGCTTGTAGCATGAATTGGGGAAGCAACGCAGCATGCCAAGGGTACTGGCTGTGGGGGTGGTGGTGGTATTTTTTTTTTAAAAATTTCCTTAAACATTTTAAACTGACAGTCCTATCCTGTCATGAATGGTCATCTCTTCAACAGTGTACTATGGTGGGTGACCCTTGATGGGTGTTTTCATTGAGGGTGTACTAAATCAGTTATGCCGTAAATGATGGGGCACGCTAGCTTTCAATGGAAAGGCAAAAGTGGGGAGTCTCCACGGTGGGTCTTGATATAAAGGAGTCACCAGGACCTTAGGTTAGGTAGGTCACGGGTTTTTTTTTATAACACGGTTTAAGTTTGTATTGATTATCTTTTCGAGTTCAGCAATAGACCGTTATTAGATTAGAGTATATCATTACATAGATAAGAATAATTAATTCTTAAGAAATGTGAAAAAAAATTAAACTTAATACCTCTAAATTATCAAATGTCGTACTTAACCATTAGACCACCCGTAAGAATTAGGTAGGTCACGAGTTAGTGACAAATGGTATAAATTTTTTCTTTTTAGGATGGTAGGATGCTGTCAAAAATCTATTATAAAGTCTGAAATATAAATTTCTATGATCAATCGGTTATCCCATCATAACCTTTTTCTTGCATAAAAAAAGGAGTATAATAGAGACTTTGATTTAATAATGGAGTTTATTTTTTTGCTCAAAGTGTATAAACATTCATGCCTTGACCGGATAGAGAGCTAAGAAACAAATGGTACATATGCTTAAACACGATTATATTCAGAGGGCCATTTTGGTATCTTATAGTTTTAAGGGTTGGGCTTGCACCAAAGGATTTGTGTGTTGGATTTGAATATGAATTTGATATCTTGTATAAATATTTTTGTATTTTTTTGTATAAATATTCAAGAAATTAATTGATTATTTGAAAAAATCTAATTAAAATTTAGATATAATTTGTTAAAATTTAGTTAATTTAATTATTCGGATTGGATTATTAACGGATTCAAATGTAGATCACAAAATATAAATTTGTCGAATTATCAGATCTGATTCAAATTAGACTTCAAATACGAATTTGGGTCAATCAAAATGTGATTCAAATCTAACCCGTTGACAGACCTAGTTGTGGATCTAAAGTTTCAATCCTTAGGGCAGGGGTTCAAGGATTGAGAGAGAGAGAGAGGATTACTTGAAGTATTCTAAAAATACCTCCATTTTGTTTCTTTTCTGAAAATCTGTTGTATCATTTGATGATCAAAGAGATGACTTAGATGCTTCATGACTAAGTAAAGTCCATAACTAAAATTAAACTACCAATTTGAAGGAGTGAATTATGTCAATCAAAACCCCTTAAGCTGGCGTTAATTCTTGGGCTCTTTCACATCTATTACATTTGGGCCATCTAACAACTATAAGCACTGGGCTTTGGACTTAGTTGTTTATCCATTGGGCTTAGAGTTCAAATTTAAAAGGGTATATAGCTATATAAAATTTAAAGAGTCAGCGTTAGAAGCACCTGCCCTCTTTGTGCCTTGTTGGCTAGGGAATCTGCATTTCTTACCCTAAGGTCAAGGGTTCAAGGGTAGGTAGAGAGAGGAAGAGAAGAAGAATATGAGGTATTCTAAATTACCTCTTTTTTTTTGTAATTTGTAATTTGTGTTAAAATATGAATATTATATTTCTGAATTCCACAAGAGTTAGAAAGAGAAGTGTTGGTCTATTTCTCTCAATTCAATATAAAGAGTTGTCTTTAGGGGGTGGCACTCATGTTATTTTAGATTTGTGTCGGATATCAGTTAACCTTAAGTCAATCCAATTTATTCCTCTCGATTTAATATAAAGAGATATGTTTAGGGATGACAATTGTGTTGTTTTAAATTTTTGTCGAGTATTAATCAACTTTAATTTAATCCGTTTAACTAATCGTGTTATGTCCTGTCGACTCATTTATTTTCTTGTCATGTTTGGGTTGACCCATATAATTAGTGAATAAAAATTTAATGCTCAGTTTTATGTCTAAAATTTCATTATCATTTAATAAAATATATTTTCATATTTTTTCTATAAACTAAAAATTAACTTAATAAATA